TATCGTGCAGAATTTTAAAGTGGGCGACAATTTGGCACAGGTATTACTATTTAGTATTGTATTGTTATATATTATTATTTATTAATATTTGTTATCGTTTAATATTTATTATTATTGTTGTTGGATTGGCAGCGTTCCAAATTATTGAATTGGCAACACTCCAAAATAATAAAACAAGTTAAAATGTAAATTGATTTTAGGTAAATGGTCATTTACGTTTGGCGCTGAAACGTGGGGTGGCGAATGGTGCGTTGAAGCAGACAAAGGGAACGGGTGCGGCGGGGTCGTTTAGACTGGGTGAGTGACGTCATTTTTATTTGTTATTATTTATTATTGTTATTATTTATTATTATTTATTATTATTATTTATTATTGTTTTTAATTATTGTTATTTATTATTATAGTTGTTTTAGGGGAAGTGAAGAAGTCAGAAGTCGCCAAAAAGAGGGTGGGCGATACGCCAAAACCGAGGACACCCACAAAGTCCCCGGCGGTGAAAAAGTCCCCTGGAAGGAAGCCGAATAGTCTGAAGAAGGTTCATTATTATTTATTATTATGTTTTTATTGATGTTATTATTATTATTATTATTATTATTGTTATTATTATTATTGTTATTATTATTATTATTGTTGTTGTGAGTGTTGTAATTATGGTAACACTTCAGGTAGCTGTGGTCAAACCTGGGGAGAGTAAGGTGAAAGGTGTGAAAAAAGTGAGTAATTTGGGATTTTTTTTAAGTATTTAAATTTTTGAGTATTTATTATTTGTTATTATTATTTATTATTTATTGTTATTTTATATATATATATTGTTATTAATATAAAATATAATTATTATTCAGCAGGCTGTAAAGGCGGCAAGTAGCATCACAACAGCGCCGCCGATGACGTCATCGACTGAGCCGGCCAAGAGGGTGGGAAGGCCATCGAAGCCGGTACGACAGGGGAAGTCACCAGGCAGACCGAAGAAGGTGGTTGCAACAGGCGGCGATGGCGATAAAGTGGTCTCGAAGGGAACGAAGCGAGGCGCGAAGGGGGTTACGGTAGCTGGATCGGGGGCTGGCACAGTGCCGAAGACAAAAAAGCCAAAAATAGCAGTGGTGCAACGCAAGGGGAAAGGCAAGAGGGGTCAGTAGTGGAATTGGGGGTGGAGTTGGGAAATGGGGAGGGGTAGATCTCATTTGATTATTATTATTGTTGTTTTTATTATTATTATTATTATTATTATTATTATTATTTTATGGAGAATGTTATTGTCCTCTGTTTTGGAAGCCTCATTGTAGTTTATAGTTTGTAGTATGGTTATTGAACTTTGTTTGGGTAGTGTGGGATGAAGTTATTATTATATTATTATTATTATTATTGTTATTTTATTATTATTATTATTATTGTTATTATTATTATTAT